AAAACAAACAAACAATAACACACACACAAAAAAAACCGTCATAAGTAATATGATTTTGTTGTTAAGATAATAAACTACATGATACTATGGAATAAAGTGTACGTAATAAAACCATTTATTATAAATATCCTTAGTCTATACGTTTCACGTGAAAACTGATTTAAAACAGAAATACAATTTCACGTATAAATTGTTTTAGCTGTAAATAAAGCAAGCTTGAAAAATATGCTTTGGTCATCCAAAACTTGATGGAATATACATCATCTGATAATGATGTATCACACAAGATCTTGTTTATGAAACTAAATATTGTACATAGTTTTTGTATCTATAAGCTGCTGATAAATTCAGCAGTGTGGATAGACAGTTGAGTGGCATTATTTTGTATTTATATATATTCGAAGGGTTTTCCTTCTTCGAGCCAAACGCGGCCCAGATATATTAAAAAAAAAAAAACGCGTTCCTCACTTTGGAGCCGTGGATGCGTTGTAAATGATGTTCAAATCCCTAGAGGTGGCGGTGGGTGTTGTTGAGTAGCTACCTTCTGTCTAATCTATCCCTTCAAAATTTGGAATGACTCTAGCGTAGGTAGCCCTATTCTAGCGTTGCATAAAATTAAAAAAAAAAAAAATTTCAATTGTAAATTTATTTGAGATCATTGAGCGAACTTTATATCTGAATGCAGTGTCAGTAACATGCTACAGAAAGGTATTTAACTGGTATTGAAATATTTATTTGGAATGTTATAATCTGTTCCGATATTTTTAAAGACAGGTAACTTTAATCCATTCCAAGATATGTATTTTCTTCATCATACAGCACTCAGTAACCTATATCGATAGATCATTAGAGCACAAAATAAGTTAGATCATTCTGCAGTCTTTTATCGTACATGTTATTTTTTCTCGTTCTTTAGCATATTAAAATAATTATATTACGAGGGCCCGTGCTTTATATGTCTTTATTAAATACCAACCCTTGTAAACAAAACAAAAATTGATTATTTAATATAGGTTGAAAAACCTGGGTGTGTGAAATTTAATGGATTTCAAGGTTAATTCCGACAGGTTGTGAACCCTACATACACTATTAACCCTTTTAATTAAAACGCAGGGTATAAGCCCCACAGTTAATCACAACCCCACTGAATGAAAAATATGGTGTACAATAAAACTCTTTTTGATTCAAACCTACAATATGTGCCACTACATTTTAGGGCTGTGTTTCTCAACCACCTTCCCGATCCCTTGTATTTCACGGAAACAAAAACTGACACAATATTGTTGTATAAATAGTAATGGTATTTCATTGTAATTGCATATTAGTGGTCAGCAACAATTTC